AGTTATGAGGGCCGCTTGGGTCTGAACTTTTAGGCACCAGGCATGTATTTTCCCACAGTCTTTTCCCTCTTCCTCCAACCTGGAAGACAGCTGTGCCTGTTATCCAGCTTCTGTCAAGCAGATGAGGACAGAGTCCTTATATTTGCAGTGCAACAATCTGGAAGGAACTAGAGTCCTCAGATGGCCAGGTGGGGCAAGATCCTTACCAAACTGCACTGCTCAACTCAGGACTGCTATGAGGGAGGGAAATGAGCTTCTATTCCTCCTTAAGTCACTGTATTTTTTTCGTAAAGATGAGGTCTGGCTCTATTGCACAGACTGATCTTGAACTCCTGGGCTCAAGTGACCCTCTGCCTTGGCCTCTCAAAGTGCTGGGATTACAGGCATGAGCCACCATGCCTGGCAAGCTACTGTATTTTTGAGCCTCCAACCCACTTAGTCTTGAACTAATTAATATAAGAGACAAGTGCTGGGCATATTAAAGATGGAAAAGATACAGTCCTTACCCCCAAGGGATGATAAGGATGTTTTAAGTAAGGAAAACCAACCCATATGTGGAGACTTCCAATTAAATGTGCTACGTGCTGATGTGGCCGCCATGGAAAAACACAGGCCTAACTTCCTCGAAGAGATGGCGGCTCAGCTGGCCTGTGAAGGTTCAAGAGAGGTTGGTCAGGTGAGAAAATGGAAAAGGGTATGTTATGGGTTAAATTGTATCACCCTCCAGCAAAAGACATGTTGAAGTCCTAAATCCTAGTACCTCGGAATGTGACCTTATTTAGAAATAGGGTCATTGAAAATGTGGTGGCTTATGCCTATAACCCCAGCACTTTCAGAGACCAAGACAGGAAGATCGCTTGAGTCCAGGAGTTCGAGACCAGCTTCAGCAACGTGGTGAGACCCCCGTCTCCACAAAAAATAAACAAAATTAGCAAGGCGTGGTGACCCACATTTGTGGTCTCAGCTACTTGGAAAGCTGAGATGGGAAGATTGCTTGAGCCGGGGATGTTGAGGCTGCAGGGAACCTTAGCATACTGGAGTAGGGTGGGCTAGAATCCAATACAACTGGTGTCTTTTTTTGTTTTTTCTTTTTATTTTGAGACAGAGTCTTGCTCTGCCACCCAGGCTGGAGTGCAGTGGTGTAATCATAGCTCACTGCAGCCTCCATCTCCAGGGCTCGAGAGATCCTTCTGTCTGTCTCCCGAGTAGTTGGGACTAGAGGTACATTACTAACGCCCAGCAAATTTTTGTATTTTTTGTGGAGAACGGGGACTTACTATGCTTCCCAGGCTGGTCTTGAACTCTTGGCCTCAATCCTCTTGCCTCAGCCTCCCAAAGTGCTGGGATTACAGATGTGAAGCATCATGCCTGGCTGGGTGTCCTTTTAAGAAGAAAATTTAGACACAGAGACAGACACTCAGGGATAATGCCATGTGAAGACATAGAGACACACAGACTCAGAGACGATGGCCACATGAAGATGACCACATGAGTTTGGTGTTGTGCTATACAAGTCAAAGAATGCCTGGGCCTACCAGGAACTGAAAGAAGCAAGGAAAGATCCTCCCCTGAAAGTTCTGGAAGGGGCATGATTTCAGACTTCTAGCTTCCAGAACTGCGAGTGGATAAATTTCTGCTGTTTTTAAGTCCTGCACTTTGTTACTTCAACCCTAGGAAATTAATACAGGGCGTATCAGGCATAAGCAGAGGCAGAGAGGTGAGAAACAACATGGTGTACTAAAAGAGACTATAGGCAACTCCGTATTTACAGCTACAATGTGCAAGGCAAGGCATGTCCTGCAATGAAGCTGGAGAGTGGAAAAAACCCACTCACTGTATGTATGATACGTAATTTTTAAAAACAGGAATGAAAAATGCAAAGAAGAATGATCACCAAAATAACATAGTTCTTTCATGGTGGTAAAATTTTAGGCAAAGTTTACATTCTTTTTATTTTTTTCCTTATTAATTTTTAAAATGATTATGTCTTTTGTTGTTGTTTTCTTTGAGACACGTCTCGCTCTGTCACCCAGGCTGGGGTGCTGTGGCAGGGTCTTGGCTCACTGCAGCCTTGACCTCCCGTGATTCAAGCTATTCTCCCACCGTGATTCAAGCTATTCTCCCACCTCAATCTCCCCAGTAGCTTGGACAACAGGTGTGTGGCACCATGCCCGGCTAATTTTTAAATTTCTTATAGAGATGAGATCTCACTAAGTTGCCCATACTGGCCTCAAGCAATCTTCCTGCCTCAGCCTCCCAAAGTGATGGCATTACAAGATTGAGCCACCATACCCGACTGAACATGTATTTTTAATGTAATCAGAAAATAATCTATTTCATTTAGGAAAACAAAGGCAGATGCTGCCAGCAGTGAGGACAGTAGATTAGGGGAGTAGGATTAGAAGCAGAGAGACCAGCTAAGAAACTATTGCAGGCCAGGAGCAGTGGCTCACACCTGTAATTCCAGAACTTTGGGAGACCGAGGCGGGCAGATTGCTTGAGGTCAGGAGTTCAAGACCAGCCTGGCTAACATGGCGAAACCCTGTCTCCAGTAAAAATACAAAACTTAGCTGGGCACTCCAGCCTGGGCAACAGAGCAAGACTCTGTCAAAAGAAAAGAAAGAAGAAAAAAGGAAGGAAGGAAGGAAGGAAGGGAAAGAAAGAAACTATTGCAATTGCAATGTTCCAGATCTGTGAGGAGGGCCTGAGCTCAGAAAACCGAAGTAGCAACAGACAAGATAAATATTTAGAAGGTAGAATTAGAGAGACATGGTGAATAGCTAGAAGTATTTGGGTTGGCGATAGAGAGGGAGGATCCCAGAATGATTCTCAGATCTCTAGGTGGGGTGACTTGGTAGATGACAGCCCCTTCATGGGGACTAGGAGAAGAGGAGATTCAGGTTTTCAGGGGAAAATGACGAGTTCAGAGGAAGATGGTGAAATACTCGTGGGGGTATCCAAGTAGCAATGTCCTCAGCTGGTAACTTTACATGGTGGTCTGTCCAGCACTCCACTCTAGGCTTCCTCTGGTAAATTCTCCTGCCCCATTCATCTCCATGATTCTCATGGTGGTTTGTTGTGTTTGTAGGACTCCACTTCCCTAGCTACAGCTAATTGGTCAAGGATGGATGCCTGACCCAAAGTTGGGTTTTGTTTGTTTGTTTGTTTGTTTTTTGAGACAGTCTCACTCTGTCATTCAGGCTGGAGTGCAGTGATGCGATCTCAGCTCACTGCAACCTCCGCCTCCTGGGTTCAAGCGATTCTCCTGCCTCAGCCTCCCAAGTAGCTGGGACTACAGGTGCTTGCCACCATGCCCAGCTAATTTTGTATTTTTTATAGGGATGAAGTTTTGTCATATTGCCCAGGCTGGTCTCAAACTCCTGGCCTCAAGTGATCCGGCTGCCTCGGCCTCCCAAAGTGCCAGGATCTCAGGCATAAGCCACCGCACCCGGCCCATGTTTTCAAATTTAAAGAGTAGTGGAGAAGACAGGACTGGCGACATAAACCTGGGAATCATCCCCACATGGGCAGCAGTTGGATTCACAAAAGGATGAGATTTTCTAATGAGAGCGTATAACAGGAGAAAAATAAAAGTCAGCATAGAATCTACCAAGGGTGCAGGAGAGAGCAGCAGAAGAACTCACAACCAAAATGAAAAGAATGTTCAGAGAAACTGGAGGAAACCAGGAGAGAGGAGAGAATATGGCCCCAGTTAGAGTGGAGGAAACTGGAGCCTGGAGGTGAAGCTAAGAAGCTCACTGATCCAAGACTCAGATTCAGGTCTTTGCTCTTTGCATGGCACCACTGCCCATGGTTTTGATGGTACTGAGCCTCTTTTTTCTTTAAATGGACTTCTAGGGACAGAGTCTGTATAGACAACTTGTTTTCATTTCCCAGTTTCCCTCTCCAAAGCTACGCCTGCTTTGAACTGAAGCCTACCTCTACTCTGCCCTCTCGATGTTGCTGTCCTGTGGGTTCATGCATCTGCCTAGGATTTGATATTTTAGTCCTGTGCGCCTGATTAACACAGGGAAGAAGAGCAACAAGGTCCTCAAAAATGCTTTGGACAAGGACAAATTGATTATTGAAGCGGAGTGAGGGTGGACATGGGACTGAAGGTTGCTGAAGCCCCTAGAGCCACATGGGAGAGCATTCAGGGCCACATGCCTATGACATTTTCTCAGAGCCACTGGTTTTATCACATTTGTCATTTCCCCACATCTTAATGTCATAAGTCATGAAGATGAGTCATTAAGCTGGTTTACTCAGTTTGTCTTGTGAACATACTGATAAAAAGACTGTTATTGAATCCCCGTGATTTAGAGGATTGTAGGAGTTTCAGGGGATCCAATAAAACCCATGAATTAAGCTCAACAATGGTCATGAGAACTAGTAATTAGCGTCACTTGCCTGGTACTTGCATGGTTGGTATGAAAAATGACTGTGTTAGAAATTATCTTATAATGAAGGTAGGAGGTGTACACATGTATATATTTCTTCATATTTCTTGTGCATCTACTATATATCAGGAATTATGTGAGCAACAGACTCAAGACAAGTGAGACCTCTGCCCTTCTGGAGCTTGTATTCTAGTGGGCTATTTCCATTTCATACCCCACTAACTGAGGATGTTTCTAACCATTGAAAAATGCCTTTCCCTGCTTCCCCCGTTAGTAGAAGTGAAAGCTCACCCACCAGGATCCAGGCCAAACTGCCAGAAGAGAATAATATACATTCTACATTTAAATTCTCACTACAGCCCTGCAAGGCAGGTTAACATGATAGAAATAGATAGACCTAGGTTCAGAGGCTGGTTCTGCTACTTCCTGCTGCCTGTTCATCTCTCCGGGCCATAGTCTCCTCCTATTAAACCCTCAAGATGATAACACACACAGTTTATGGCATATAAATCCTTGGCACATGGCATCATAGCCATTCCTATTGAGATCAGCTCATTTTTGAAGATGAGAAACTTGACACAGAGACGTAAAGCGACTTACCCAAGATCATACAGCTGGTAATTGCCAGAGCGGGAACTTGAACTCAAATCTTCTGACTCCATGCCATGTCCTCTTTCCAATCTCACATCACTGTCTGGTATAAGGCCAGGAAGTAATTATCCATGTGTTCAGGGATCTATGCTTCTGGAAGGGTGCAGGCCTAGTGACTTAGGAAGGACAGTATGGAGGTAGTGGTCAGGGGGTGAGGAGAATATGAGGAGTCTCGATAGGCTAGAATAAATTAATGGCCGGGGGACAAGTCCAGGCAGATTGGCACGGGCAAGACCCAGCTAGAAGAACCAGATTCAGCCCCGGCTGCTGCCTGCTCACCTGCGGCCAAATACTGACCCCTGCCGACCGCCCAAGGGAAGGCGGCGCAAGGCCCAGCTCCGGGAGTGCTGGGGGGCCCTCGCGGCTGGAGCGGGCGGGGGAACGCTCATCGCGCAGGCAGGAGCCTAGGGGGCTGGGGGTCACAGTGCGTCCCCCTCCTGGAACCTCGAGACCTGAGTGACTGCCTTGGCCACCCAGGGTGACATTGCATCACCTCCTTCGCTCACCTGGCTTTTGACCAGAGAAAGGGGACAGAGCTGAGGGTTTTCCCTGCCCTGGGCTCCGACCCCGAGCATCTCCTGGGTTTCTCCTTGCCGCGCAGCCCCCCACCGTGTTTGAGACTTGAGGCTCGGGGCCTGCCCTCCCTGTCCTGTCTAGGGTGCTGGCCATCTGGAGCAGGTGGGGGGCGTTTCTAGGGCTGGATTTGAGTCTTGTATGGGGCAGATGGACCAACTCTAGACCAAAGCCCACTTGCTGGGGCTGAGGGGACGCTGTGGCAGTGCCACTAAATACGGCTGCTTCTTGCCCCTCCTGGCTGCTCCCATCCAGATAGGTCCAGAGATGTTGTCCCTGCAGAAGGAGCTCACTAAGGACTCTTTACCCCTTCCCTCCTTGTTCAGAACTGAGAGAGAGAGAGAGAGAGAGAGAGAGAGAGAGAGACAGAGAGAGAGAGAGAGAGACAGAGAGAGAGAGAGAGAGAGACAGAGAGAGAGAGAGACAGAGAGATGGGGGAGTTCTCTAGCATCCTATGCAGGGCTCAGCATTTTATTCTTTAAGATAAAAACAAGGCAGACAGGCTTGTTAGCAATTCACATATATTGATTTGGGGGGATTTTTAAAAAAATTTCAACAATATTTAGAAAGTAACAACATGCTTTCAAGAGTAAGGATTGATGTCAGGTCCTTTATCTTATTCTCTCCAAATCAAGAATCTCAATCTGCAATGGAAGGGATCTGACTCTTAAGTTTCCTGTGAAAAGGGAGGGAGGGAGGGAAGGAGGGAGAGAAGGAGGGTGGTGGAGAGGGTGAGTTGACTGAGCTGACCACTGCTCAGGGTGAGAAGCCTGTAGCCAGTTGCCTGTAGAGTGAAGGCAGTTGAGCCTGACAGGAGTAGGCAACTCTCATTTACAATGCCTAAAGAACTTTCTAGTGCATCCTTGGGTCATCTGAACTTCAGTTTGACCCTTTGAGGTGGACCTGGATACTAGTGCTATTCTCATTTTCAGATTAGAAAGAGGGAACTTGAGGTCAGGCTTAGTGGCTCACGCCTGTAATCCCAACACTTTGGGAGGCCGAGGTGGGTGGATCACCTGAGGCCAGGAGTTCAAGATCAGCCTGGTCAACATTGCGAAAACCCATCTTTAGAAAAAATACAAAAATTAGCCAGGTATCTGACACACACTTGTGATCCCAGCTACATGGGTGGCTGAGGCATGAGAATTGCTTGAACCCAGGAGGTGGAGGTTGCAGTAAACTGAGATAATACCATTGCACTCCAGTTTGGGTGGCAGAGGAAGACCCTGAAGAAGGAAGGAAGGAAGGAAGGAAGGAAGGAAGGAAGGAAGGAAGGAAGGGAAGGAAGAGGAAGGGAAGGAAGGAAGGAAGGAAAGCAAAAAACCATGTCTTCTAAAAATGCAAAATTAGCTGGAGTGGTGGTGCATCCCTGCTTAGTCCACCCAGGAGCTGAGGCGGGAGGATCTCTTGAGCCTGGAAGGTTGAGGCCGCAGTAAGCCCTGATTGTGTCACTGAACTCAGCCTGGGCGTGAGAGTAAGATCCTGTCTAAAAAAACCAAAAAAAAACAAAAACAAAAAAACCCCAAAAACATGATAGACCAATTGTTAGAAATTTACGATTTCAGGTTCCACATTGCAATTAACTTTTAAGAAACTACACTTGGGAGCCAGGCGCGGTGGCTCAAGCCTGTAATCCCAACACTTTAGGAGGAGAGGCTGAGACAGGTGGATCACGAGGTCAGAGATCAAGACCATCTAGCTAGCACGGTGAACCCCATCTCTACTAAAAATACAAAAAACTAGCCGGGTGAGGTGGCAGGCGCCTGTAATCCCAGCTACTCGGGAGGCTGAGGCAAGAGAATGGCATGAACCCGGGAGGCGGAGCTTGCAGTGAGCTGAGATCCAGCCACTGCACTCCCCAGCCACAAGTCGGAGCGAGACTCCTCAAAAAAAAAAAAAAAAAGAAACTACACTTGTCCAGTTGGTAGCAATCTAAGAAAAATATCCACAATTATTTGAAAAGGCTGACAGATAGTACTTTACCCTTTTTTCTTCTACATAACTGTGGCAGAAGACAGACTTTTCATATATTTCCTTAAAACAACCTATCTCAACACATTAGATAAATGACAGAGTATGAGAAGCATGGCTATCTTCTACTCAGCCCTAGACATTTAATAGACAACAAAATCCAGAAACAATGTCACTCTTCTCACTAATTCTTTTTTTTTTTTTTTTTTTTTTTTTTTGAGGCCAAGTCTTGCTCTATCACCCAGGCTGGAGTGCAGTGGCCAGATCTAGAGCTCACTGCAAGCTCCGCCTCCGGGTTCACGCGCGTTTCTCCTGGCTCAGCCTCATGATAGCTGGGACTACAGGTGCCACCTCGCCGGCTAGTTGTGTTTTTAGTAGAGACAGGGTTTCCGTGTGCTGAGATGGTCTTGTCTCCTGACTCAAGTGATCCACCATCGGCCTCCCAAAGTGCTAGGATGGCTGTTTCTAGCATAAACCTCACTAATTCTTTTATTTTGGAAAATGCAAAATTTATTTTCAACTGTATATGCTAATATGTACAGCATATGGTTTAGTAATGCTATTTAAGTAGATTAATACATATTTTTAAAATTTCATATTTTACTTTAGACATGGTACATGTCAATGGATAATGAACATAAGCACACAAAACCAAAACAAAATACATAAACAAGAGCTATTTGAGGCTATTTCAGTAATTGTTAAAAAAGTCTAAAAGAAGTTTGAAGGCTGGAAGTATTTGAAAGTCATGGAGCTATCTATGAAGAAATATCAACACATCTTTTTAAAAATTGACTATAATTCATATACCATAAAATTCACCATTTAAAATATATGACTCAGTATTTTAGCAGATTTAGGGTTGTTCAACAATCACTACTAGCCAATTCCAGAGCCTGTGCCTGTGTGCAGTCATTTCTCATTGCTCCCTACTTCTAACCTCAACCACAAATCTCAGTGAATGTGCCTATCTGAACATTTAATGTAAATGGAATCATATAATACGTGGCCTTTTGTGACTGGCTTCTTTCCATAGCATCGTGGCCCACAAGGAGTTCATCCATGCTGCTGGCCTTATATCAGTGTATTCCTTTTATGGTAGAATAATATTCCTGCATGGACAGACCACATTTTGTTATCCTCATTGATTACAGTAAACACCTGGGTTGTTCCCTGATATGGATTTAGCTCTGTGTCCCCAAACCTCACCTTGGAATTGTATTAATCCCCATGTCAAAGTGGGGACCAGTGAAATAATTAAGATCATGGGAGTGGTTTCCCCCATGCTGTTCTCGTGATAATGAGTGAGTCTCCAGGAGATCAGTGGTTTTTACTGGCATCTGCTTGGCATTTCCTATGCACTCACTCCCGTCCTGCCGCCCTGTGAAGAGGTGCTGTTTCTCCTTGCCTCCTGCCATGATTGTAAGTTTCCTGAGGCCTCCCCAGCAAAGCGGAACTGGCAAGTCGAAATTAAAACCCTCATAACATAAATTACAGTCTCAGGCAATTCTTTAGAAACAGTGTTAGAATGAATTAAATACATTTCCCTTTTTGGCCTTTATAAATAATGCTGCTGAGCATTCATGTATACTTTTTTTTTTCTTTTGAGACAGAGTCTCATTTGTTAGCCAGGCTGGAGTGCAGTGGCACCCTTTGGTTCACTGCAATCTCACCTCCAGGTTCAAGCAATTCTCCCATCTCAGCCTGAAGTATGGGATTACAGGTGTGTCAACATCCTTGCCCGGCTAATTTTTGTATTTTCACTAGAGATAGGGTTTCACCATGGCCCAGCCCAGGCTGATAGATCTCCTGATCTCACGTGATCTGCCACTGTGGGAAAGAGTGCTGGGATTACAGGCGTGAGCTACTGTGCCAGCTGCACCTTTTTTTTTTTTTTTGAGACAGAGTCTTGCTGTGTTACCCAGGCTGGAGTGGAATGGTATGATCATAGCTCATTGCAGCCTCCAACTCCTAGGCTCAAGCAATCCTCCCACCTCAGCCTCCCAGTAGCTGGGATTATAGGCATATACCACACCACACCCAGCTAATTTTTTTATGTTTTTTGTGAATAGGATCTCTGTTTCTGCTTGCTCAGAGCTGGTCTCAAATTCCTGAGCTCAAGGATCCTCTGCCTTGGCCTCCCAAGTTCTGGGTTTGTAGGTGTGATCACTGTCACTGGTCTCATGTACAAGTATATATAATGTTCTCAGTTATCTTGGGTGGCAAAGCTAGCGAGTGGAGATTACTGAGTCTTATGGTAACTCTATGTTAGACTCTTTGAGGATACCTTGAAACCGTTTTCCTAGGCTGCCTCTTTATATTCCACTAATGAATTTATGAGCGTTCAATTTCATCTATATCCTTGCTAATACTAGTTATTATCTTTTTGACTATAGCCATGCTAGTGGGTTTGACAGTTTTGATTTTTCATTTTCCTAATGGTTAATGATGCTCAGTTTTTGTTTTTTTTTAGATGGAGTTTCGTTCTTGTTGCCCAGGCTGGAGTGTAGTGGTGCAATCTTGGCTCATTGCAACTTCCACCTTCCGGAGTTCAAGCAGTTCTCTTACACCTCAGTCTCCCTAGTAGCTGGGATTACAGGCGCCTGCCACACCACCACCAGCTAATTTTCTATTTTTAGTAGAGGTGGGGTTTCACCATGTTGGCCAGGTTGGTCTCGAACTCTTGACCTCAAGTGATCCACCTGCCTCAGCTTCCCAAAGTGCTGGGATTACAGGCATGGTGGCTCATGCCTGT